GCTGTCCGAGTTTGATTGAAACAAGCATGAGATATTGCTTGTACTTACAGACTAGCTGACCTTTCTCATTCCCCTCTCCAATCTATCAATTCACCACGAGGTGCATATAAGCTTGTGGCTCGTTCCTCGGCTTCAGTGTCATTCACAACACCTCTACATCTTGGAAAGCCACAGTAACAAGCAAGTTTCTCTTCCATTGAAAAAAACCTGAAATGCAGAAAAACACAAGTTAACTCATGTAAGACAAACGAAAAACCATAACACGATTTGGTGGAAAACCTGTAATCATATGTCAATTCCTCCCACTGTTTGATATCTCTTTTGGCAAATATGACGATATGCTCATCACTGTTTATACTTATCACTCTTGAATAACAATTTGGCTGCATAAAACTGAACATGTAAGTAATCAATGAGGAAAGTATAGCAGCACGACACAACTAAAGAAAAGATTATGTAATGATAAATGGCATATCGGGGGCATCATGGTACTGTAACAGAATGGTGATTGAACCATAAAAGAAGGCAAAATTGTAGGTTTAAAAGAGGCAATACAATCTGCACAACCACAGAGCAGACAGAAAATAGAAGGTATAGTGGTCTGCTTAGCTGTCATTAACAAGATCATCTAGCCATATTTTTCAACAGAATCACCGCATATTCCATTCTCTCAGACAAGTATTGAGTGGTCCTCAGCACAATATTATTTGTACATTTATTTCCACAATTTCTTGCAGCACTCACAGAAATTTTCCTACCTTCACACTCCTTATTCCACTGCTTTGCACTCATCATGAAGCATTTTATGACCCCACCAGTAGCCTCAACCCAAAAGAACAATGAAAACAAGAAAAGGGATGATTGTAACCTATGAATCTTTTTACGACATCAAATTTCACAGAAAAATCGAATAAAGTTCCCTTGTTAATGACCAATCATAAAATCTATCTGGTGGAAAATGGAAAAAATCCAAAATCTCTTCTACAAAAAATGGACATCATCTATTCTACCATAGCACCACAAGCATATAAGCCATGAGAAATTCTAAGTAATGGACTACATATGATTGATGGGTAACAGTGAAAAAAATCCCCAGACGTTTCACAGTGATTGATATATCATTTTGGAGGCAAATGAAAGACTCAATCAGCCAGGTAGTGAAAGGGAATTATCATAAGTGCACAAGGGACACAAGATAAACAAATCAATATTGTCTTCCAACAGAGATTACGGGCAACACAGTCTTTTTAGCGTTGAAGTTTGACATCTCTCCTACAAAGATGTGCTCAAGGTCAACCCAAAATATATTCCTCATTCCTATTAAGCAGGTTAGTATTATCTGATTCATGACAGAAGTTTCTTCCGGAATAAGAA